GTGTAACACCACGACTCGTGGATCTCTTTTATAAAACTTAATGTTTTTTTTTCCTCGTTTTTTATTATTTCAGTGACAATGTATGACAAAGAGCGGAAATTAGGTATACATATAGGATAGTGATAGAGAAATACTTAGAGCATACCAAAAGTGATAAGATTTTGAAGAAAAATAGACAAGTTATTGAAGATTTTATTTCATCAAATGTTTGAAGTAGTTTCTCTGGTTGTTTATACATAATTGCATTTGCTCATGCCATTTGTCGAAAGTTTTTTTTTTTCATAATCATTCTTGTTGATCGAATTCATAGTCTTGGTTACGGCTCGATGTAGGGATTATGAGATGCTTTGATTGGTTAGTTTCTGTTTGATCAAATCGAATAACCAAAAAACATATGATACCAGGTTCAGAAAATTTGATAGTTGCCGAATAATTTTGATAACTTCCGATTCTAGATAGTTCGAAATACCATTATGAGCATGTGGTTGGACGTTGTCGTACTGAAGTTTTATGGAATGCGTACTAGAAAACTGGTCTTTTCGTCTGAATTTCTGTGATGAGAAGAGATTTCAGGCAATGATCGATGGTTTCATACCAGTTTCTACTTGTATTTTACTAATAGTAAGATGAGAATCATCATCAATAACACCCTTTTGATCATCTGGCAAATGTATTGTAAAGTGGAGCCTGGTCGCCAAAAAATAGAATATAATTCATCATAAATCAATTTTCATTGAATGTTAAATGCAGTACACAATATCATTACTTTGGATGTGTCCTAAGTAATATGTAAAAAAAAATTGTTCAATTCGATTGTCAGAAACAAAAATTATTGATTACATAGAACTAAAATCTATAATGTTTAAGATTTATGAGATTGGCTATTGTCTCTGTTATATATTGATATACTAATTTAGATTTACTATTGAATGTGTTATGAAATTAATTGCATTAAATTTTAAATATTTTACTATTCCATGGAATCTATTTGATTTTATCATTGTAATTGCATCAATTCTTAGTATGTCGTTTTTTTTCTTATTCATTTTTATTAAAAATGTTATTTCTTTTGTCTTTCTTTCTAGGAGGACTATTAGAAGAAATTATAGAAAAATATTTTATTAATCCAACATTATTACGTGTTGTTCGTGTTGCACGTGTTGGAAGAATATTACGTTTTGTGAAAGGTTCAATTTAATAGAAATGAATGAATCGTAGATTTTTCTAAAGTTTTTATTTTCATTTTGTTTTTAAATAAAGGAGCAAAAAGTATTCGAATATTAATATTTGCATATGCTGTTTCGGTGCCTGCCTTGTTTAATATTGGCCTTCTTCTTTTTCTTATCATGTTTATCTATTCAATATTTGGTATGTCATTTTTTGCTTATGTAAGAAAATCAGCTGGTATAACAGATTTACTTAATTTTGAAACATTTCCTAATTCAATGATTGTACTTTTTCACATATGTACAAATGCTGGTTGGTCTGATGTTTTTCAAGCATTAACAAATGATCAATCACCAGATTGTGATCCAACTATAATTTCACGATCATATAAAGGTGATTGTGGTGATACAATTATTGCAACATTATATCTTGTAAGTTATGTAATAATTACTTCTCTTGTTGTGGTAAGAATTTTAAAAAACTTTTATTTTGAAATTTTTTGATTTCGTATCATCATTTAGGTAAATATGTATATTGCAGTAATACTAGAAAATTTTTCTCAAGCACAAGAAGATGTACAACAAGTAAATAGATGCAAAAAAAGTTCTTTTTTATTCGATTTTGTTTTTTTTGTTTAGGGCTTGACTGATGATGATTATGATATGTGTTATGAAAAATGGCAACGTTTAGATCCATCAGGTTCACAATTTATACGATATGATCAATTATCAGATTTTATTGATGGTCTTCAACCACCATTACGTATTCCTAAACCAAATCGATTAGTACTTGCCGCTATGGATTTACCAATATGTGAACATGATCGTATACATTATGTTGATATATTTGATGGCATTACAAAATATTTTCTTGGTATATTTAATGTATCAATAGCAAATAGTGAAGCTAATACATCAATTGATATAAAAAAAGATCGTCCAAAAGATTATCATCCTATAACAACAACAGTACAACGTCAGCGTGAACTTTATTTGAGTCGAATGGGTTTAAAAGGTTTTCGAACTAATGTTGAACGACGTCGAAACGAACGAAAAAATCGAGAATCAATAGTTAGAAAAGTTACAACTGACGAACTCATTGAATCAGATGAGTTAGAAACACCAACATTAGCATCGGACGATAATCAAAATCATGAAACGAATTTAACAACATCAACGTGATTAAAACAACAATTAATACAAACTATTTTTTTTCTCATATTGCTTTGCAACTAGATCATCATGCGCTATAAGTCGAGTTCTAGTCAACCAATTTTAATAAACTTGTTTTGTTTTACTAGTCTAAAGATGATGATTCACTTCTGAAAAACTCAAGTTCACCTATGCTTCAGTTTATGAGAAATCATAGTGACAGGTCAGGTGTACATAGCTTTTGGGACCATCAGTCGGAAGTCACCCGATATCTTTTTTATTGCATTATGATTTTTTTTAAATTATTTTTTCCAGCTAGAGTTATAGAAATTTCCAAGAGTTTTCAGAATATATCTTTGATTTTAGTCTTACGAGGGAACATCCCCAACTGTCAAATCGCTTTTGGGTTCAGACTCTATGCATAAAGTGGACCCCAGTGAGGTATGAAAAACCCCAATACGATAAGTGCTCATAGGCCTTCTGCCCAGAGTTATAGGCATTTTACTGGAATTTTAGCTTGTGGCATGGTATGTACCAGAAAACCGAATGGCGGTATTTCGACTTGAGATTTTGTCCACAGAGAGGTCTATTGTTGGGTAGAATGCCCTGGAAATTTTAGCTCAAAAGAATGTTTTCTTCTCGAGATATTAAAGTTCCAAAAATCACTCATATCCCACGAAAG